CACGTCCGATTTCCAACTCGTTCTGTTCCGCCATTCCGGGCGCTTAACTATGCGGCTACAAAGAAAGCGGGATAGTCTTGGATAAAGCTTAGCCTGAGTCACGTACTCCTAGTCTTCGGTAAGATTTACCCACCGTCTTCCTATCGAATTTACGATTTAGAAACTGATCATACCTGCATATCCTGTTAAAAAAGTTCCATCATAGACACAGAGTTGTTCGCTATCCAATTCAGTCGAAAGTCCAGGTAGTTCATTAATCGGATCACGTTCGGGTCACCACTTTGTCATTCAATCCTACTGATGTTTAGATCTAACATTAAGCAGGCAAACACGAACAGTAACAAAAAAGAACTTTATTAGAAAAGGTTAGAACTGTCACAGACATCCTCGGGCAACACCCGGACAAAATCCAACGAACTTTCGCGCCTTTTCTTTTTTTACGTTGCCAGCCACTCTTGTTGGCAAGTGTTGCCAGACAGTGTTCAGGATCTCTGGCGCTGGCGGCCACAGTATAATTCAGCAGTTGCCCAACATTGTAACAGTGCCGGGTGTGAAATAGTGAAGGAAACAGTTAAAGTGGTTAATTAAAAATGACAAACATATAATAAAAAGAAAATTTTATGAACATATTGAGATAGTAAAACTGGAAGAAGCAGAACGGATAAATAATAATACCGGGTTAAATGTAGATAAAGGATGGTTAATTAATGTAAATAAGGATAAGAGAATAAGGAATTTATTGGGAAATACTGGCAGGAAGGTTGAGGAAGAGACGATAGATACTAAAATATATTTATTATTAGTTGCTAAGTAAAATTTTTATAATTTATAAAGATTTAAATTGAGTTTTAATATAACACATTATGTAATGCGGGTATGTAACTAATGGTACTAGTTTCTGTGTGGTGTTTTCACGCCCGGCATTGAAAAGTTAATGTAGAGGAATAAATGTTATTAATTAATAGAAGTTAAAATTAGTGGATGGTATGAACAGTACAGTGCATCAATATAAATAAGATAACTTTCTAATGTAGAAATACATTTAAATTAAATTAGACATAATAAAATGTTTTGTACGGTATAGAGGCTTCCGTATAGCCTAGTATATCTACTTGTCATTCCTGAAGACGTACTTCGAGCAACTGTGGACCATACATTTAAGTTTACAACACATTTTGCATACTAATGGTGTACACCAGGAATGTCTAACCTTTCTGTTTCTCTGGGCCACAT